GGAAAAAATATGAAGTGGGTTTGTTAGAATAGTTGCAGATCTTCTTGTGTGTTTCTTTTTTCTCGTTTCGAAATTAAAAATATGAAGTGGGTTCATTAGAATTAGTTGCACTTTCGGATGGATTGTTAAGTTAATGCAAATTTTAAGGGGATTAGTTAGATGAGATAGAAAATCTTCGAATCTGTGTTTATTTGAACAGAGCTTGGAAAACTACTTTTTCTTGATTGCTTGCATAATATTTGCTATGTAGTGGTTAGTTATGTGATTTGGGGTGGTTTTCGAATTTCGTAGGAATATTACATACGTCACATGGATGGTTGCACTCTAGAGACGGAAGCAGAGAAAGAGAAGGTCATCAAGTGTCTCGAGGCAGCAATTAGACGACGAGTGAGTGAGGTAATGAAAATGACCCACTGTATTTTTTTTCATTTTCACAATTCTCTTTTATACCTATTCAAAATCCAGGCTAGTTGAAGAAAATAAAAATACTCATCTTTCTTTCATTTATAAATATTCCTCTGAAAAAAATCCATTTGTTTTGGAAATCGCATCGTCAGTACGGGCTATTTGTTTAAAAAAAAAATACAAACCTAAACGAGCCATTTACAACATGTGAATCGTATCTTTTGTAATTTTGAAGTCGAATTAATTCATTGAAAAAAAAAAAAACGCAAAATGCTTATGAATTGAAATTCCATGTTCGAAAAAATATCATACAGGGCCTAAGCCTGGAACTATGCGCAAAGGATCGTGTGGGCCTCTTATCCGAAGTCACGCGGATTTTACGAGAAAACGGGCTTTCTGTCACGAGGGCAGGCGTCTCGACTGTGGGCGAACAAGCCATGAATGTATTCTACGTGAGCGATGCTTCCGGAAAGTCTGTTGATGCAAAAACTATCGAGGGCCTACGCAAGGAAATCGGGCAGACTATGAGGCTCAACGTGAAAAAGGCCCCTAACGATGCCAATACGCTCGAGACTAGTGGATGGGCGAAAACGAGCTTCTTCTTCGGGAGCCTGCTGGAGAAGTTTCGGGCTTGAGTTTTGCTGGACTTTGTGTGTGTGTTCAGTGTTGTGATGTTTGTGCTTTGAGAAGCCTTGTGTGGAGCTTTGTGTATGTGGATGAATGGGTCTGAGTAAACATTGAACTGTACAAATCAAGAAAACAATAAGTTGTAATAAAAATGTTGGGGCAATTTTATGTAATGGAGTAGTAAATTTTCACTAGCTCTGTTTGTTATTCAGCTAATTAAAAGTTTCAAGGGTCAAACAAATAGCTTATTTTTGTGAGCGGTTACTTGGTGAAGTTTATGCAAAGTTAATGTTGAAGTGTGCTTGGGAATGCACGAGTGCGATTTTTGTGTAACAACACATAAATAAATGCGTTTATTCGGGGAGTGTCCAGCTTTTCTTTAGAACTCTTTCGGGGAGTATTCAACTTCAACTTCTTTTTAGAACTCTTTCATTGGACGCGCTTTTTGGAACTCTTTCATTAGTAAATGGATGCGCGCATGTAGTGTACACATGTAGTGTACTTAAGTTTACAAGATTGAAACTTCCTTCTATTTATATTGTCCTTACACTCTAATTTCTTAATTACTTTTATATTGTACAAGTCACATATGCTATTTGAGTCGAACCGAGTCAAGTAGCTCATGTCGAGCTCGTGCTTATTCAATGTACGAGCTGATACCGTTCGGATCGTTTAAGAAACTAATAAAATTCTCGTTGGGACTTCGGCTCGTTTAATGATCCTAAAACACTTTTAACAAAAAACTTTTCGTGAACATGAAATGTTCTATTACAATTTCAGGTTCAGCACAAATAACACTTGTTCCTAACTTCCTGTTGTTACATTAACTAAATTTTGTTCTAGTTTACTTGTGTAAGTGTAACTTGTTCCGTTATCTTTTCGAGTACAGCAAAGACTGACGATATTTCGACATTTATTTAGAAAAAACTGAAAAAGTTTATGCTCAGTTTGACGTTTATGTTCACTGCAGTCGGTTTTAGTAGTTAATACAATACTGCAGTCGGTTTTTCTTCTTCATACAAACAAAACAATCGGTTCCAAAATTAATTTACTGGGTACAGTACCAAAAGCGAAAAGTGGGTACAATTTGAGTACTAAATGTGAGTTCTTCCCAGACAAAAACTCATATAGTGTATTTGCTTGGAACCACTGTATATTGACGAGTTGCCAATTTTGTCGATCTTAGGCTGTATTCATATTTGTTTGAATTTTCGCGAACTAAGTATACAACATCTATCATAGAAGTACACATCAGCTTTTACCAGATAACTAGGTGTGTTTTGAAGAACATTCCAAACATCAGGGATTGTTTTGCAATCCAACACACTACTTCCAGAGCTCATGTCTCAATTATAAAACACTACTGCACCAGGTATTAAACTTACCTCGAGTCGATAAAATAAAAGTATATTTCAAATATACTTTTAGTGTTTAATTCCAACAAAACACAAACCAACTTCAGCTTGAGCCTGCAACTCTTCCAGCACTTTCACTATCTTCTCCCGGCTAACTGCAGTTTCCCTTTGCTCCGAAAGCATTTTCCGTAATCTTCACAAGAAAAAACCAAAAAAAAAAAAAAGTGGTAAATTTAACTATTAGCAGCCATGTGAAAATGTTTCGACAAACTGGCTATATTCCGTAACGAGTTATTATAGTGAAAGGTAAAAACGAGATCTCACTTTTGTACGATTGCAGTGTCTCCATGGCCCGTGCAGATAACGAGCATGGAATTGCAAGGTAGACTCGAGTGCAGGCTCTTGACTCTTTTGTCCACTCGACTAAGAATGTCCTTTAGTTCGGATGTGATGTTGTAAGCAATTTTTTTTCTACTTGTAGAATTGCTACAAGTAAGCAATGAGATCATCTCTGCTAATTTCATGTTTAAATTCTCCTCATTGTTTGCTTGTTTCACGAAATAAGAATATAATTCCGTGAACTGGGTCCAAACAAAATTCACCCTCTCATTTTTGGCCTGAAAATCACCAGAAATATAAAGGGTTAACAGATTAATTACAAATGTATCCCTGAGGTTTAGCTTTTATTACTGAAAACTCAACCCCCGTGTTGGTTTCTTTTCTACCATTGTACCCTCGAGTTGATGTTTGTGACAATTAAGGGGGCATTTGTAATTTCGGCAGATGAGTGGGGTTTTTTTATTAGTTAGGTTTAGACATCAGGTTATTTTTTAGAATTATCTGGAAAAAAATAAAGAAGTACCTCCTTTTTCGCTTTTAAAAGAGCTTCATCATCCGACGAAACTGGAATTGAATTTGACAACTCGGAGGCATATCTCTTCACTATAGAAACATTATCGATTAAAGATGACGTTTTTCCAGATTCACTTAACAAAGTCAAAAGTTTCTTCCTTATAAACGTCGATGGCAAACCGAAAGCAGGACCTGATTACAGAAAAAAAGATATGGTCAACATTTGCAGTCAACTCAGTATAGAAAATACTCAGTTTGATTACGAAAAACCACCCGTGATGATTGAACAATCACGTGAAAACCTAGAAAACTTTCAGAATTACAAAAAATATCCGAGGTATTTTTTGTTTTGATGTTCATCCTCTTCTTAAGCAAACAGCAATTAAAAACTCATTCACTATCATACAAATATTGCAACAGAATCAAATAAATAGCTGGTACTTTTTAGGTCAAACCTTTGTAATTATCCCTAATATTAACCTACACAAATAAAAAATGTGATTCCAGTCACAGAAACAGAAACAACCATGACTTCCAATAATACCATTATAGCGTCAATGCATAGCATGGAGATTATTTGAAAAAAATACCGTGTTTTATTTTTAGCAGAGCAAGCTCCATTGTAGCTCTTGCATCTTCAACACTATCATGTCCATTTCCAGAGCCTTGTATCTCTCTCAAAAGAAATCTTCTCGTCAACACACGTAAAGCTGTTTTATAAGATTTACCATGAGGGTGCTTATACAATACGGCGGTATCAATCACCAAATCGTGACAAATCTTTAAGGCAAGCAAATCATTTTCTAATGAATGCCCAACGAGGATGGTCTCTTTGTGAACTAGCTGAAGAAAATCTTCCTGAAAACAGAAAACACTGTCAACTTGAAGGTTAAACCCAATATTACAAGAATTTGAGATAATTACAGACTGCCCGAGTCTTAGTCTCTACTTAAAAGAAACTCAACTTGTCTTTCAATATTACAAATGCAGGATTGTAATTACCAAAACAATACCCATCTTATTTGCAGTGCAACCCATGAGAAGGAAACGATTTGTAGGGGGTATAAAAATTTTTAAAATACTACTGGGTTATCCTGTAATAAGTTAAGCCTGAGGGGACGATTTAAATATCCTAGAGAATTTAGAAGTAAGTACAAGGAAAATGTCACAAACTAAACCTGAACATCTTCAAGAGTTGTGGTCACCCCTTCCAGCATCTCGTGTGTAATCCCGCTATATCTGCATCATCACAAGCTACATAAGCCTCAGGCAATATTTTAGTTTACCCATTTTGTGTAAGTAAATCTATTGATGAGAGTCTCCTCAACTCAACTAATGATGTTATACAGCGCGTTCGTTCAAAGATGCCTAGCGAGATACATAAAAATATGGCCACGATAACAAACTATGAAGCATTCTATAGAAAATACCCCTAAACCAAACGTTACACCAATTCATGATCACAGAAAAAGCAAGATTCATGCGTAAGCTCAGGCTAAGATTCAGGACAAGCTCAAGTTACATTTTTCTGGCTTATGGACCATTTAGATTGAGACTGATAATATTCACTGAATATATTCAGCACATATAGTAGGTAATGATACCTTGTGTTGTAGTCGGTGATAGCGTTTGCTGGTTTAACAAGTTTATCCAACAATACCTGCACATCTGCTGACATTAGCCAAACATGTACAAAGAACATAATCACAAGCCATGAATTGCAGAAAAAGCCAATGAAATAGTAAAAATAGAAGCATTTCTTCCTGAAGGGAAATGCTTACATTCCTATATACTGAGTTTAAATGTTAAGATTTATGTTTCAGACTCCAAATAAAGAGACAGGTTGACCTCGTGTGAGAAAGAGAGAGAGAGAGAGAGAGAGAGAGAGAGAGAGAGAGAGAGAGAGAGGAGTAACCTGTCCGGTAATATCCACAAGTGTAATTCTTGTAAGCTCAAAACCTTTACCTGTAATGCACTGGTAAAAGAATAAATAAATAACAAAATAAACGACAAAAAGAAACATTGAAGTACAAAACACGAACCACATCAAATTTCAAATAACGCCTAAAAGATCCAGAAAGGCAAATAGTTCAGATACCCTCACTTTTTAGTGCTACAATCTAGTACTTCATACTACTACTATAGAAACAACAATCGAATTGGCTATTTGAACAGTCAATGGAAGCATCACATAGAAATAAATATAAAAGTTTGGATAGTCAGCTGCAATATACCATCTCACAGTCCAGTGCCAAAATCTCATGAACTGGAGTACCAGAAGGAGCAAGAAGTGTTGGACGAAATTCTGCAAGAGCCAGCAAATTACAAAAAATATATGACATATATACTCTTTTCAAAAGAAAACATACCATGAGATAAACCAAAATCTTTATTACTTTTTGAATATTTTCTTTCGAAATGTATTACCTGGATTATTACAACAATATCCATTGTCTTCCAATTCCTTAGCAGTCAGAGTATAGTAGGTCATTGGGAATGGCAAATTTTTTAATACATCTGCACCAGATGCAATACCTGACATAGGGATCCCAATTCTTCATTATTCAAGCATGAGCAGCAAAATCTTCAGTTAAGTTTTGGCCATGATAAATACTATTCCCGAAAGAATATTCGTAGCTTAAAGGACAATGTGTGTCTGGATATTAAACAAACCTTGACAAGCTGTCTGAGCAGCTTTCTTTTGAATATTTTCTGCTTCATCCCTTTTTCGTTTTACTTTGCACGTAAGAAGAGCATCTACAGTCTGCATTCCATCTGATACGCAGCTAGCGCATAACAAGAAACCAAACTCATAGTAACTAAAGCAGGAAAAAAAAAAAAAAATCCTGAACTCGAGTTTCCTCTGTAGCATCGTAATACTAAATACCTGAGAGCTAATACGGCCCTAGGGACACCACAACAGTCTTTAAAACCTTTTAACAGCTTAGACTGTGACAAATACAATGCAGCATCTAGACCAGGGACATAAAGCATAACCACTTTGGGAATCAATGGCTTGTTCTGCACATAACAAAGCAGTATATTTTAGTAAAATTATAACAAATTTCAGATCTTTATTTAACTAAAAGTAAAAATAATTAAGCTCTTGCTCAGGCTAAACAGAACCGAAGAAAATAAAAAAAAATTAAAGCTTCTCACTTTAATAAACACCCATGATGGCATATAGCCTTCGGCAAGCACCCAGGTGGCGAGCCCTTGGACATCCTGTAACATGAATCCAAAACTATGATTAACTCCATCGTTGAACTTACATTAGCTAAACACACAAATTCTATGTAGAATTCAAAAGCATACATGCAAATTCAAAGTCGAGTTTGCTTCTGGCTGCTTAAAAACAATCTCTGCCCTCGCCTGCAAATTCCAAATCACAAATTTAAATCCAATTCTTTACTGCAGCGCCTGCAGCGCCCAAACATAGCTCAAGCTAAGCTAAGGAGAACTAATAAGAGTCCAAATGCTTAAAATAACAACAGGAATGTACATCGAAAAAACTAGGATTACAAATACATTCACGATTAGAAATTTCAGAGCAATGATGAATAAAATTTACAAGAAGTGAACCTCTGGACCGTAGACATCAAAGAAAGCTTTAGCATTGCCGTTGGCGTCGGAGTTTCCTTCATTCGCCGTTTCAATTTCATTGTCGGAGGAGCTCATGCTGTCGCTGAGAAATAAGAGAGAGAGATAATAGTACACTTTCGACGATCTTGATCGATTTCTGTAAAAGCCCTAATTTTTTTCTCTGCACATAAATTAATTTTAAGAATTTAATCTAATTATATGAACCTAGGGTTTGAGTTTTCTCCAGTCAGTTGCATAGCAGACAATCCTCCAGGGTCTTTTTATTTGTTTTGAAATTTATTTATTTATTTATTTATTATTATTATTATTATTATTATTATTATTATTATTATTACTATTATTATTACTCCAAATCATGCAAAACTGTTAGGCTCAATGCATGTTGTAATTTATGCATATTTTAATAAGATATATCACTATTATTAAGAAGCCCAACAACAACATTTATATTAGATTTGGTAGTTCACAATAAAATAAACCATAAGTAATCAACTCGTGATTAGAGTTATTAATTTAAATCCTCAACTCCAAACAAAATCATTCAATCCCAACAGAAGTGTGTTATATTAATACTGTTTTTATTGAGTTAGCCTCATCTGTATATAAGTTAAAACATAGTGTAACATAACATCATCACCTTTGAGGCTGCAATTTTGTCAAAAAGAAATCAAAGTGAAGAAGGTACATTCAATTTCCAACGATTCGTTCATGTGCTCGGCTCGTTGAAAACTCGTTTGGCTCAATTTGACTTATTAAGACTCGAAAAATATGATTTTTTTTAATATATAATTTTTTATGGTTCGACACGTTCAGATTTGAACTTGAATTGTTAATATTGATAAACGAGTCGATCTCAATTACTAACTTGTTAAAAACTCGAACTTGAGCTCGAGTATTGTTTGCACCCTTAGTTGTTCCTTTTTTGTATTTAACACTAATGAACGAACAACTGCCAAACCAATCCAACACACACATGAGAAATCGAAACCGATAATCGAGTAATCCAAAGCATTACCAGACTAAACACAATCATACCAAACTTAGTTCAAATACAAAACCCATGTTCAATGTTCATGCAACCAAACAGAAACACTTGAGAATTAAAAGACCCCACCAGAGAGAAAGGTCATCATCATGAGTAGGTTAAAAGCAGAAACTAAACAAAGACAAGTTCCTAACAAATGTTGTTTTTTCGCTTTGCAGCTCTGGACTAGACTTGTTCATCTTGTGGTTTTTCAAACTGCCTGTTCGATTTTGAGATTAGCCTTTTGATTTATCTCCAGGGACTTATCAGCTGTGGATTTCTCGTTTTCGCCCTTGTTATCACGGTAAATCGCGTAGAGTATAAGCTGCACTGCACCTAATGCACTTCCAAATCCATTGGGAACCTGTGAAAATGACAAGAAAAAAAAAGTATAATTAAGTTGCATTTTGTTAATTTTTGCAGTAATTTGATTTGAGATAAGATGATTATTATTACAGCAACAAAAGGGTCTTTTCCGAGGAGGCCAAAGATGAACCAGGATGAACCGCACAAGAATACGAACAACGATAGGAAGAAAGGCATGAACTCCACACTTTTTGTTTTGATCACCAACCTCTGCAATTTTTATTTTTTTTAAATGATAAATAAGTCACAAATGATTAAGTGTGAGTGAGAAGATAATATAAACACAGACATCATTCAGAAGTTATGACATATTCAGATGGACAATTTTTGAACTTTTTTTTTCCTACCTAAATTTCAGTGAACAGTTGATTTTTCTTTTTTTGAAAAAAATATTCTGACTCTGGGGTGGTGAAAATGAGAAATTTTTGATAAATTTGAGATCACAGAGGAAAAGAAAGTTCAATTAAACCATAAATCACCATAAATTCTGTAGTAAACAGAAGTGTTTAACTGCAAAGAACTTATCCTGAACCTTTTATCCTAATTTGAGAACAGGTGATCATTTTAGACCTATTATAAGTTATAACCACACCTAAACAATTACGAAAAGAGACTAAAAACAAGAGAGTAACAAATGTAATGCAACATATATGAAAGAAATG